GGGGTACTTATTAAGGGGTGGTGTTTAATTACCGGGGGAGGGGCGCCTAATTGCAGAGGGAGAGGGAGGAGCCGACGTAGAAGAGCCAGAAGAAGGGGAAGATGCGCTCGGAGAAGGCGGCGGTGAAGGTGAAGATGGGCGCCATGTTCTCGGCGTTGTAGAAGGCCACCCACCCCCCCTCGTAATCCAGGTAGACCCCGATCTTGCGGGGCCGCTCGCAGAGGGAGAGGGGGGTCTCGGGGGAGGTGAAGGCCTGGTACTGCTCCCAGCTCTTGCCCCTCCAGTTGAGCCCCACGGCCCAGATGCCCTCCTCGGGCGCGAAGTCGACCTTCTCCTTGCGCCGCACCGACTCGCGGGCGGCCCCCAGCACCCAGCTCTCCCCGTCCCCCACCTCCACCTCCCAGTAGTGCCGCCCCCCCAGGAAGCCCTCGGCCCCCAGGACGCAGAAGGCGTAGTCGAAGCGCTTGGGGTTGGCCGGCACCTCCTGGGGGGCCCCCCGCAGCCGCACGCTGCGCCGGTCCTCCGACAGCACCAGGTAGGGGTTGGCCGTCTCGGGGTCCAGGGACAGCTCCCCTGCGGGGGACAGGGAGATCAGGGGGGGGGGACAGGGAAGAACAAAGAAACTCCCACCCAAAAAACCAACACCAGACAGGAAATAGCCCCAAAATTATAAAGAATAAAAAAAACCGCACAAAAATAAAGAAAACGCACCCAAAAATGTAAAAGGGACCCAAAATCGGCCCCAAAAAAAAAGAAAACAAAAAAACACCCCCCAAAAACCACCCCAAAAAGGTGTCCTCCGACAGCACCAGGTAGGGGTTGGCCGTCTCGATCAGGGGGGGGCACGGAGATCAGGGGGTGTTTCCAGAGAAACTCCCCCCAAAAAACCAACACCAGACGAGAAATAGCCCCACAATTATCAAGAATTTAAAAAAAACGCACAAAAATAAAAAAAAACACAGCCAAAAATGTAAAAGGAACCCAAAATCCGCCCCAAAAAATAAACAAAGAACACTCTCCAAAAATACCCCCCCAAAACCACCCCAAAAAAATAAAAAACCCCCACCCCCAAACAAAAAAAACACCCCCAAAACAACCAAAACAAAAAACCACCCCCAAAATAAAAAACAAAATAACACCCCAAAAGAATCCAGAAAAACATCCCCCAAAATAAAAAGAATCCAGGAAACACCCCCAAAAAAAGAACCCAACCCCCCCAAAATAAAAGAGAAACAAAATAAACCCCAAAATAATAAAAAAAAAACCACCCGCAAAAATAAACAACCCGCCCAAATAAAAAGAA